TTGTCAAAAAACATCTCCGTCACCAGATGTTTAAAGATTGTCTTTTTAAACACCAACAAAACATATCAACATTTCATCAAATTCGATCCATTCACAACACCCTCTACACAGACAAAGTGACCAAATTGGCTTTAACTCCTCAAGATGATAAGCGATACCTGTTGGCAGGTGGCATCGAATCTCGACCCTATGGATTTAATCCTATTTAGAACCTTTTGTAACCTGTTCATTTCAAGAAAAATTCTAAACAATTCCCTCTCATTAGTACAATAAGTGTCTAGCAAACATGGATGATATAGCATATGGAAACTTCATCCCTGTGTTCCTGATATGTGAAAAGGTATTTCTTATGCAAAATGTTTTTCACAAATGATGTAAAAAGAAACTTTAATTCACTTATCTTATCAATGATAAATAACATTTTATTGCTGGTAAACTTATTTATGAAAAAAATAACTTATATGATAGAAACTAAAAACTTGTATGTTAGAAACTAAATGTATATGTCAGAAAACAAAAACTTGTATAACATAAACTAAAATTTGCATGATGGGGAAAAAAATTAATGAATAATTAACACATTTTTTTGTTTGCTCTTACAGGATGATTGGAAATCTCATGAGGTATCGATTCAGGGTGACTGGAAGCCAAGGAGAAGTGCTGAAGGAAGGAAGAATTCTCCAAAGAAGTCACCTTGCGGCTTGTCTTACCGGTTCTCGATGTATCGAGAGAATGCTGAGACATCAGGTGAATGGAGCAGCAGAGACTATGTTTCCCCGGGGACCCTTCTCTGTGACCAGCCAAGAAGTTGTTATTTCAAGACGGTGGCGTCACAAAAGAAACCATAACCTGAAGAAACACATTCGTTCAGTGTTTGAATCTGTGATGACATCTGTTTATGTCTTTGAACTTCAGAGCAAAGTTAATGAATTGTGCAATAAAGACTGTTACGGATGTGAAGTCGAGCATCCATCTCAAGTCCATCATCCGTGTCTGATGATGGGTGCTGATGAGAGGGTTGATAGTTATTTTGATGATGCACTGTCAACAATGTCTCACAGGCTTATCCTCGAAAAGACAAGAGAGCAAATGACATCATCATCCAGACTTTTATTTTCACTCCTTAACACCAAATGCTATGAAAATGAACACTACTTGAACACTCATTTCTTTACTTCGAGTAGAAAAGAACGAGTAGAACAGAAGCTGAGAGAGAAAATGAGAGACTTTTAGAATGTGACGATGATTTTATCACATTTACCTCATACTAGTGTTTCTGCATCAAGAGACATGATTCTGATTAGCTCATGGGGAAGGGGCATAACTCTGATTGCTTTAATCCTCTCGGAGAAGACAGTGATGTCACACTAAAAAAACACCAATTTTGTATTATTCTATTGTAATCCAAGACACAAGTGTCACTAATGTTTATAGTTCAAATTCTCATGGTAATAATCAAAGAAATTGATTCATGATATAATTTTATAATAAAATCTATTTGTGTTTTCATTTGTGTATGTCTTTTCTTTGTTGATGTTATCGTGAAAGAAGAAAACAGAATGTTTTTATATTCATCATGAGAGAGTTTGAATAGAATGTAACCAAATTACACTTACACGCATACACTTAGTCATCAACCAATGAGATTCTTTGAATTTAAATATTTACATAACCACATCCAATCATCATAGGTGGGTTGTTATTTTTTTAACACGTGATAAACATAAAATCCTATCAACCAGTGAATTTCAAATACTAAAATAGTGACATGCACAAAATCACGCCTATATCACTCATTTCGTCGTCTACCCTCAGAGACAGAAGTTGAATTCGTAAAAAAACAGTGTACCATGTCAGCAAGGTTAGTGCAATTTTTCTTAGTTCACTCAATAAATTTTTATTTAGTAATCACTACAATAGGTATAGCTTTATGATAAGTACTCTTGAGAAATTGATGCTTGCAAGACAATCAGCGAACCAAGAATATCTTAATGCTGCTGCTGCTGCTGCTGAGCTATAACATGATATTGTCAATTTCTGAACCTCTTCATACTATCTTTTTAACAGAGTGGGAAGAAAAGACAAATCTACATTTTACTCCTGGAAGCAGGTCATGAAAATGCCGCACACCCTAAACGAGGCAGTCATTCACCAATCTCACGAATGGTTTCCAAATCGTGACGAATGGTTTCCAAATCGTGACGAATGCATGAAAAACGCCAAGAACAAGTTTCGAGACGATTTCAACGTCACTAAGCGAGTGATTATAAAAAAATCTTGCTGGGCACTCTCCGCGGACGAGGTCGCCATGGCGGAGAAGATGAAACTCGTTGAAAACTTGTTGACTTTATGCTACTGTCTTCAACTCACCAAGATGATCAAACGACTGTCTCGTGAATTGTGTTTCGGGTGCATGTTCGATGCGGAAGGTGAACGGGACCATACCTGCGACATGTCTGAACAACAACTGGTGGAAAAATACTTTTACATGACATTATCCGACGTAGACGATGGAGAGGTGTACGAAAGCTGGAGAAAACTCCTGCTAGAAGACCCGAGTTTTCGAGATGTGAGGGACTTTAACTTAGTCCCGTATCGATGCAAGGACTATCGTGACTCTCAATTTAAAACGTCTCAATGGAAGGAGGGCTTGAAAGAATGCGTCGAGAAAATGTTAAAGTTAGACAAAATAAAGTGAAATGTTTTTTCTTGGAATGAATATTTTGTTTGTTTATTCTAATTATGATATTAATAATAAAAATCAATGTTGAAAATTTGTATTTTGTTTGTATTTCATCTTCAGTCACACATAGTGAGCGAGTGAGTGAGTGAGTGAGTGAGTGAGTGAGTGAGTGAGTGAGTTAGGGTTTAACGCCGTTTTCAACAATTGTTTTCCGTTATACCATAGCGGCAGGGTTTACGGCTGCAGGAGGAAAAGCCTGCATCACCAATGTGGTTATGTGATGCAGTGACACCTTCGAGCTTCGGCCTGGTACCTGCGAACAGACACACACAGACGCACAACAACAAATGATATAAAACGAAACATCATCCATTATATTCTATCATTACACGATGAGCTCTCGAGAGATAACTTCAGACAAAGTACTGGAAGATTATTATTTCACTCCCAGAGATCCGGGCGCGTTTTTGGGTCCGAGTAAACTCAAAAAGGTGTTAAAAGGTCAATTGAAAGTTCCAGCGAGCAGTGTCAGACGGTTTGTCAACAATCAAGATGCTTACAGTTTACACAAACCCGTCAGATACCGTTTCAAACGAATAAAAGTCAGAGTGAATTCTATCGACGAAATGTTTGACGTGGATTTGGCCGACCTGTCTAGGTTTACGAAGTGGAACGATGGTGTGAGATACTTGCTGGTGGCCATCGACATATTGAGCCGCTTTGCATTCACCCTTCCGTTAGACAATAAGAAACCCGAAACCGTCTTGAAAGCTTTCAAACAAATCCTCGAACAGCGACGTCCCGGAAAGGTGAGAGTAGATGGCGGAAGCGAATTTAAGGGGACGTTCAAGACGTTTTTAGAAAAACAAAAGATAAAACTTACCATAGCTCGCAACGAAAACATCAAAAGTAATTACGTTGAACGTTTTAACAGAACACTGAAATCACTGATCACCAGATACATGACCCACAATAACACCAAACGTTATCTGGAAGTTCTGGCGGATTTAGTATCCAATTATAATCACACCCTTCATTCGTCTCTGCCTCATCTCTCTCCTGCAGACGTCGATAAAACCAACAAAGTGAAAGTGTGGGATCACCTCTATCTGGAACCTCTGAGAAAAGTCAAACCCAACATCAAGAAATACTTATTTAAAGTGGGCGACCTGGTTCGCATCTCATACCTCAGGAAACCTTTCACCAAGGAACTCGATCTCAAGTGGACGGAAGAACTGTTTAAAGTGGCTCGACGTTACAAGAAGCAAACGTTCCCTCAGTACAAGCTGAAAGATTTCCACGACGAACCCTTGATAGGTAGCTTTTACGCGAACGAACTACAGAAGGTCGAGAAAGAGGGTGATGTGCTGTGGCAAGTCGACAAAATTCTGAAAAGAAAAAAGGTGAAAGGCAAGACCCATGTTCTAGTGCGTTGGCTAGGGTGGCCCAGTTCCTTTGATTCCTACGTAGAAGAGAGCGAACTGAAAGACCTCTGATGATGGAAAAGTACATTTTTCTCAAAAGCTCAGACTCCAAAACAACCTCCTTTCCTGAGAATTCACCCTATCATTTTCGAGTCAAATTAAATCAAAGGTTAGTCTTTGACGGATTCTGGGTGGTGTCTTTAGTCGAGCTCAATTTTGGAAAGCTGGATCCGAAAAAAATCCCCAGTGGTGACCCCTACGTGGACGTGTTATGTAACTTATGTGACAGCTCGTTGGTAGGGGAAACTCAACTGGCCTTATTGAGACGCATCGATCTGAGACAGGGGCCTACCTATACGTTTGGTAGTGAATTTACCATTCGTGTCAAATTAAAAGAAACCGACAATATTGAGCTGTATTTAAAGTCGGGGAGTACCTCTACACCGTCATTCTTAACGGAAGAGACCTACGCCACACTTCACTTAAGACGTTATCCTTTTGTGGAGTAAACATGGATTCCTCGCGCCCATTGTATTTCCCCGACTACGCCAAGTTTAAACATTACTTTGACAAACACGCGACAAGGTCATCCTCCAGACTGGTTAACGGGAAGATGCAAAGGATGGTGATCCCAGTTCATCGACAGGCAACACAACAACAAAAGGCAGATCCTCCAACTAAGGTCACTCTCCAAATGACATCCGAATCCCAAAGTGAAGTAGAGAGAGCAGAAGCACACGGCAAAAGAGAAAAGGCTTTAAAACGCAAGGCGGGGGCTAAGTGCGTCACAACCAAGAAGATACGTCGGACTGACAACATCAACGCACCTTCCAAGACGGCTAAAGTGCTCAAGTGTACCCCAGTGAAAGAAAACGACATCTTTAGTTAAAATCATGGCCCTGTTGAACGACAAAGAATTCGAGGAACTGGTTCCCGAATCGTTAAATCTCTTCACTCTTCCTTCCTATCAAACCAGCGTTCAGAAACATTACTTCGTCAACGTGCGTCCTCTGAGCCAAATCAACGATTCAACGCCTTTGGAATTTCACGTGTCCAATTCCGGGGGCGACTACGTCGATCTGAAGCGCACCCGTCTGCACCTCAATGTCAAAGTCACTCAAACGGACGGTACAGCATTAGCAGAAGATGAAAACGTGGCCCCCGTGAACCTGTTTTTGCAGTCGCTCTTTTCTCAAGTGACGGTCTACCTGCAGAATCAGCTCGTGTCTTCCACCAACAACCATTACGCTTACAAAAGTATGATGAAGACCCTGTTGGAGTACGGAGCCGAGGCAAAGACCACTCAGTTGACAGCTCAGCTGTTCTACAAGGACGTAGCCGAACAAAACTCCGACCTGGAGAGCAGCGACGTCACTGGATCTATCAACGGCGGAATGTCATCGAGAGCCTCCTACATAGCGGACAGCAAAGTACTGACCATGTCGGGACCCATCTACGAAGATATCTTCGACATGAACCGGTACCTGCTGAACGAGGTGGACCTGACATTGAAGATGTACAGATCGAATCATAAATTCTGCTTGATGAGCAGCGTGACCGAGCACGAATTCAAAATTCAGATCTTGGATGCCTACCTGCAGGTGTGCAAAGTCAAAGTCAACCCCGCCCTGATCTTGGCTCACAACACGCTGTTCGAAAAGACGAACGCTCTCTACCCGTATACAAAAAATGAGGTCAAGGTCACCAGCATTCCCACCACGCAGCAGACTCACTGCATAGACAACGTCTCTAACCCCGTGGCCAACAGATACGTCGTCGGATTGGTGGACAGTTCGAGTCTAAATGGCAGCTATACAGGCAACCCGTTTAATTTTAAGTCGTCCATGCTTAAAAAGATGACGTTGTACATCGATGGGGTCAGTGTTCCGGGTCAACCCACCGAAGCAGATGATGTCGCCTGTTACGTTAACATGCTAGACGGCATGGGTCTGTGGAAGGAAAACAAGGGAAACGCTATCACCAGAAGTGAATTTCTCTTGGGGAATGCCTTGTTCGTCTTCGACATTGATAAAATGTGTGCAGATTCGGAGTACCTGAACCTGGTGAAATCTGGAAGTGTGAGGCTCGAACTTGAATTCAAATGGCCACTCATCACGACGCTGAGTTGCGTCGTCTTGACTCAGAGGAATTCCATCATCGAAATCGACCAGGCTCGCAACGTGTTTGTCAAGTAACTTTCAATTCATCCAAAAGAAAAAAGCAGAGACAATATGAAAGCCTCTCAGCTTTGGTGCGCCATACGGTGTGACCCGAGTTTACAATCTCACGTCATAGGTGTTTTTGCCAAAGATACTTTGCCCACTCTGACACCTGGCCAGCGTGCCAAAGGTGTGGGACTCATTGTCAACACAGAGACTAGCACAAGAGAAGGTCGTCACTGGATCGCCATGTATTTCAAAGGGAATAAAGCAGAAATGTTCGATTCTTTATCAGAACGACCCGTGGATAAAGTATTCGATCACTATTTGAAGTCTGAGAATAGCCCCTCTTACACTCGCAATAGAAAGCAATTACAATCTTCAAACTCTGATACATGCGGATTGTTTACATTGTATTATCTGTTATGTAAATTCAAATCCAATTTACGCATGGATGATATTGTACAGCAGTTCGATACAAATGATCATTTAATCAACGATGAATACGTTTCCGCATTTGTTTGTCGCTATTTTAGATATTGTACAGATTCGTGTTCACGCCTTTTTCATGAGTCATGTACAAGATAATCATATGAAATGGGAATGTAGTTCGTGAAATGCTTTGTTTCATGTCTATATGCTGTGGTAGAAGTCAATAAAACATCAGTTTTAGTCCTCATTGTGTTATGTTGTGTATAAATACCTATGTGAGTAGTCCATCAAAAACAGTTCTATGGTAAAGAGTGACCAAGACACATCATCACCATGGAAGAAGAATTGAAATGTCTGTTGCCTTTTCAAACCCCTACTACCATATCAGTGGTGGGCGGGTCATCGAGCGGTAAAACATTTTGGGTTGCACAACTGCTAAAAGAAGTCAATAGCATGTTCGACCCAGCACCAAACCTCATTATTTACTGTTACGCTGTTTGGCAAGATGTGTACAGTGACATGGAGAGATCTGTCAACAACAACATTCGATTTCGGGATTCTCTACCAACAGAAGATGAACTAAAATCGTATTCTTTGGAGTCTGACAAGAACTGTTTGCTGGTCGTCGATGATTATATGGAGCAAGTGTGTAAAAATCAGTTATTCTTACGTCTCTACAGTACTTTATCCCACCACCTCGGGATTTCCGTCATAAACATACACCAATCGGCCTATCCCAAAGGAGAGTGTAACAGAACCATGTCTTTAAACACTCATTACTTCGTGCTGTTGTCCAACCCACGTTCGGCACACGAATACAAAATTTTAGCATCACAAATATTTCCGGGTCAAGCGAAATATTTTTCGGATTTCTTCCAGGATGCTGTGAGTAGGAAAAAATATGGGTATCTCGTTATGGATGTGTCGCCCTATGCAGAAGAGGAATACGGACGTTTGCGTACGGGGATATTTCCAGGTGACGTGTGCACGGTGTACTTACCACAGTAAGGAAAAAACAAAAACAACAGAAAACAAACCATTGCGCATGACATTGTTGATGTGTGACTAAGAAGTACAGATGTGCTATACCCTTTTGGTTCATTTCGCTTTCACCCCTCAAACAGAACAGAACTAAGGCTCGAAACACGATGGATGTATGTGGGAGGTTTGATGTCGATTCAGTTACAGACTGCGCAGAAATAATAGAGCGCAGTACAGATGTGTACGGAGAAAAGCTTACCGACAGACTGAAATCCTTCGCTATCTGGCCTCTTCAGATGAAGCAGTCTCCAAAATCCATGGCAGAGGCTGGATTTATATACACAGGACAATACGACAGAGTCTACTGTTTCAAATGCAAAATTCGCGTACACCGATGGATGCCAGAAGATGACCCGATGACGGAACACTTCAGACTGTCCCCTCGCTGTACCTATATCCACATGCTGTGCGAAGAACCCAGGGTCAACAAGGAAGGGTAGAAAAAAGAAATCTCTGTTGTTTTTTGTTTTTTTGGATGCAATAAAACACTATTGACAAGCATGCACCTGTTCATTTGAGAGCGAGACAATCAAACAGTAAACACCATTATGAGTGAACTACTGGAGAAACATTTGACTTTTCTACTGATGCTGGAACAAGCTAACACCAAGCAAAGAAAAGCTTTGCTGACGCATGCATCGCATGAACAGTTTATGGGTGTTATCACTCTGTTATTCAACATTTTAAGAGGGAATATACACTTATCGGATGAGGATAAAATTCGACTGTCGCGTCACAAGAAGTGCATTCGATCCTTGGCCAGCAAGACAGTAAGTCGACGTGAAAAACGTGAGTTGATACTCGCACATCATTCTATTCTCCCGGTTTGCATCAGAGCCTATCGAGCATACCTCTCGTCGTCAGCACAGTCGGAAGATAACGTTCATCATGAGCAAACCTTTGGTTCTTCTGACGAGGGAGACGTATCAAAGATTGATGACCAACAGAGAAGAACAGAATCCACAGACGACAGTGAATCAGACAGCGGAGGATTCTCAGACAGCGATTTCTAATAGACTTGACAATGATACATCACTACCTGTTACAGAGGGACAAACTGAAAGGAAGCTCATGCTTCAAGTTCCTGACCAGTTAATCAGAGACATTTCCTCTACGAAGACAATAGGGAGGTTAATGGCTTTGTGGTTGTTCGTCAAAGAAAGCATTCTGAGTGGGCAATTGAGTTTGAATAAACATTTACAAGTTGTGATGAGCAATGGAGATGTATTGCATAATTCAAACATTGTGGACTTGATTCGCTATGTCATCACGTCACCGCGTGTTCAAAGCAGACGGCATCCGGAGGGTTACCAGGAATTTCGTAAACTTTTAAGACAATTAAACGTTCCAAAGCATCTCGTGAAAAGCAGACAAAAGGAAGACAAAAAAGAAAAGAGTGTAAAAGCCTTAGTTATCAAGCGTAAAGCAGCTGACGGTGTGCCCGGGAACGCAAAATCGAGAAAGTTAGAAGTCTTTTAATGTACATGAACATGTATATCCCTATAGATGATGTACAAGATGTCGATACAAAAATTATGCATAACATGAAATACATTGTTTGTGATAGTTTATGACAAACTAATGTTTACTTTTTATCAACATTGTTAACCTCTTGATGCTTTACGTGAATTTTGGAAAAGGCTGGACTCTTTGGTTCTCAATGTATAATTTCATTGTGATAAATAAAAGGTAGATCTCATTTTTCTTTTTACCGGTGTTGTTTTTAAAAATCTCCTTCCCTTAAGAACACTCCGTTACACAATGGTTGCAGACTATTTCCAAATATGGGGATTGAAACAGGAGAAGAAGTCTACATTTGCTTGCACATGATTTAATTGCAGTTGCAAACTTCAATCCCAAGGTCTTTTGGTTCTACAGTAAAACTCAAATCCCAAGGCATGTTGGTTCTACAGTAAAACAGTGCAGTAAACATACCATCACTTTGTATCAATGACATGTTACTGAGGGGTTAGATGCTTTACCATCATCCTACATTGTCTTTGATTAAGATGGTTCCCGATGTCAATTTGCGTGTTAAATGTATGCAGTCTTCTATTTTCCTAGGATGGACAGTGATATACAAGGAGAAGTTTAAGTCTACATTGTTTATTCACTGATGACGTCGCAAGACGTACTAAAGTAACTTTAGAAAGAAAAGAAATATGGAATCTTTGTAGAAAATAGTCAGCGATATAAAATCATTGTTTACCATCCGTGTTGAATAAACTGTACTTGATGAAAGATATGTTATAAAACCTACATTCATACATATGGACATTGAGCCGTAGGCATCACGCCCTGGAGTCTGGACCCGTCTTGTATCAACAGCAGCAGGTGTTGCGGGTATTGTACGCCCCCACGAATGTCAACAGCAGGGTTGCATACCTATTATGCTTAAACCACATCCAAACAACCACATCGTGCTTGCCCCTCCGCCAAAAAAAACCAAAAAAAACCAACAAAACAAAAACGTGTCTGATAGGTTCCCATGTGTCACGATTCTTTCACACAACACTTTCATAAATATGAACTCAGCACTCCCTATATCGGTATTGTGTTATTTGAAAACAACAAAAACAAAAAGATTAAATAACCACAGCTAGAAACACCCCAGTTGGACTTGAAGTGAAGCTATATAAATGAAATTTCAATTTTTAAAATTTCATAAGATTGCTAGATTTTATCAGACGATGGGTTTCACTTTAATTTTCAACGTGTCCACGACTAGTTTCCAGTTCAGAATCGGGGAAGATTCGTCTTCTGATCAAGCATTGGACTTTAACGTCTCAGAGAAACTTAAAAACATCTTAATTTACTTTTTGACCGAACTTGATCTCTACGAGAACAGAACTTTCAACCTGCCGTACTGTTCCCAACTCACCTTAACAGTTGGCGGAACATTATTTAGTTTCGATAGAGAACAACGAACTCTATCGATTCAAAATAGGGACTGTTCAGTTATTTCAATTTTGGAAGTTGCCGAAATTAAGGAGGCCATAGAGCTCATTATTTCAGGTGAAGGTACCATCCGGTGTGTTGAATTCCGGAAGCAATTTCAACATTTGTGCTAATGTAAGTATTACAAGTTAGCATATTTCTTGATATAATCTGTTAATTATAGAACTCGAAGTTTTCAACCGTCAAAGAACTTGTCATTTTCGATTCTGTGCACAATTGACATTAACTAACAGTGGAACCCTTTTCATTTGCGATAGACAGTTGAAAACTCCATCAATACAGAATAGGAACTGTGGACAAATTAAAGAATCCATTTTGTTTATCTGGTTGACTTAAAAACATCATTAGCCATGCGATCTTGGTGTTGACATATGAGCGTACAAATCCTCGATATTATGTGAAAGTCCGCAATACTTGTTGATATGAGGATGTCAAATTTCACCCCCACCCCCCACGTAGCGTGTTTAGTTTAGAACCGTATGACAAGACAAATTATTCGTTTAAAATATTTGCGTTATTCAATGTAAGTCAGACAGTTGGGTGTTGGAATCTAACAGTGTCGGGACTGTCATCTAGGCCAGCAGCTTGGGTTTTCATTTACAAAACGGGAGGGGTGTTTCAATTGTATTGGAATTACCGACCATTATTTATTGGATAAAATTCAATACGCGGTACGTGTCTCTCCATTCACGTGTATCACATACCATGTGTATAGTAACTCATACCATATGTGAACTTTCTACAACGGAGTGGAGCTGTGGTAAACCAACCCCCTCCATTCATAAGCAGGCTCACGATAAATGGCATGTGGTGACCTCAATTTCGGGAGGCTCTCTAGATGTCAGTATTTCACAAAACAGCTACACTGACAAAACAAGGTGTTATGTGTATAACATATACCAACTCATTCGGAGTAAACCTCACTTGTTACCATATGATCTACTGTTAGATGCGTCGATAACTGTGTACATAGTACACTAACTAAATATGGAAATATTACTATGCCCATTGAGCGTTGTAAAGAAAGAGATCATGTGACTCCCCATCGAATATGTACTTGATGAAGCATGCGTTGAATTGATCATCGGGTTATCTTCCTGACCACTGACAGAGGACACAATACACCAAACGATTAATCTTAAGGTTTTAAAAAGCTAATCATGCTAAATTCAGAATATTCTAACTTTATCTCGAGTAATAGAAATTTATCATGACAAGGGTTAACTAACACTATGCTAAGATCACCTTTTTAAAACCTTAAGATTAATCGTAACTGTTTTGTAAAAAGAGATAAAAAAACAACAATATAAGAATACTTTCATCAATGTCTGACTTTATTAAACAGCACATAGGTAAAGGTAACTACATCACTATGTCTCTTCATTACGATGGTTCTTCAATGGGACGCCATTTGTGGTGCACACATCCTGGAACAAAGGGAACATTGAATTTGTACATGTTCTCTTTTTTTTTTCCTAAATGAGAATTCGTTGGATTCATGATAAGATAATAAACTCAATCAAGGTGTTTTTTTCATACAAATGTATACATCATGCAGAAACAGACTATAACATCTACAGCCAGAAATCGCAATGCTAGTAGCCAAAAGCTCGCAAAGCAAAGTATAGTCTGTATCAGAAATCTCTTTGTTACATTTCATAAATAGTAAATTTTCATGAAATCACTTTGAGTATTCTATTTCTTGCTTTGTAAAATGTTTAACGAGTGATGTTTTATCAACAACAACAACAAAAAGAAGAAGGATTATATCTGATTTCTGTTGGGTATTAAACTCTACAAATGAATTAGTAAAATAAGAATCTGTTTTAAGTTTAACTGTTAAATAACATGAATTATTTAGTCAAAAGCATGATGTACAAATGCATACATAACATTACAAAAATGCTTTACACAAATATGTATTAGAGGTAGACAGATGAGAAAGAAAGAAAAAAGATTTCAATGTAACTAATTACATATCAGTAAATAATTTGTAAAAATATTTAGATTAAAATTATTACTCACCTAAGACTGACTCTGACACAGCAGCACGTCATCTCCATTCTCCTCATTCATTCCGTCTTCACTACACTTGAAGAATTTTATTCGGTTGAACATTCGATTGGATTTAGACCGACCTTGTCCCTCGAAGATCAAATGAGTTGAATTTTCGAGGGCTTCCGAGTACTGCATATTCAGAAGGACGTCAAAGTCCATGCTTCCTACTTTCTTCACTGCAGGAGACAGTAGGACTTTCCACAGGTCTTCGTCCTTGACACAGATGGATTCGTGAGAGATGATCTCGAGCAAAAGATTCTTTGGAAAATCACTCACCTTACATCTTGTGGAATTTTCATGTAGGATTCCGTCTGCATTCACCTTTTTCATCAGTTCATGTCGGGAAACGAAGGTCACTTTGGGTTTGAACATTTTATTCCCCTCCATGTTATCAGCTACTTCTGATGACAAACGCTTGAGAGACGTGGCCATTTTTTTTTTTGGGGGGGGGGGGGGGTATGCTGTTACCGACTTAGAGAAAAAGCTCTCTGTGATGATACCAATGGTGGATTGGAGACCAATTGTATCGCAAAAAGATTTGGGCTTTCTTTTTTATATGATTTTGCATGGCTAACGTGAGAAGCGGCACATGCCCCCTGTTGACACATGTGTTGGTCAACTGCTTCACAATTGCCATGCAAAACGGATGTTTTTTACACAGACCCACCCAAGAGGGAAACCCGTCCCTCCTGTTGACACAGCTGTTTTCCATTCAACAGAGTTGTTTGGTAAGTAAACAGGCGTGTCCGCTACAACCCATTACACCTAACTCCTAACACATCACCCCTGTTGACACAGCTGTTTCCATTCATCAGATTTGTTTGCTCAGTCAACAGGCGTGTCCGCTACAACCCAATATTCCTAACACGCCCCTGTTGACACAGCTGTTTCCAATCAACACAGTTGTTTACTCAGTCAACAGGCGTGTCCGCTACAACCCAATATACCTAACACGCCCCTGTTGACACAGCTGTTTCCATTCAACAGAGTTGTTTGC